AGCATCATTTTTTTGAGGCATAAAGTGCTCCACAATCTGAGTCCACAGGGAGTTGATTTTACAGTCAGTGTTTACTCTAACTCCTCAGCAGGGCTCTTATTTTTGGCTGTCCTGGACTCACTTTGTAGACCAGGCTGGCCTCGAACTCACAGAGATCCATCTGCCTCTGCCTCCTCGAGGGTTGGGATTACAGATGTGTGCCATCATACCCAGCAGAGCTCTTCTTACGTGCCTCTTTCTGTGGTTCTCTCTGGTAACTTTGCTGGCCAGTGATTTATCTTTTAGGAAGTAAGTGGCCTTTTACCTCAAAGCTTGTTGATTATGAGAATGCTGATAGACCTGAGCTTACCTATATTTATTCTGCTTCAAACAAATTCCTTTGAGGAGAACTTCGGAGCTCTCTGTGCAAAGCCAGTCTTTATCCTTGGAGCTACCCAGTGCTGGAATGGGGGCAGGGAGAGTGGCACAGGTACCCTATAAGGAAACTTATTTTAAGAGTAAGGGTGCATAGTAAAAGTAGTCTCCAGCCTTCGCAGATTGTCTACACTAAAATTAGGACTGCATCCTAAAAGTGAGCTGGGCTGAAAACAGCCAGGACCTACTCTTTTCCCTACAGCACAACTGAGGTAAAAACATCCATGCTCTGACCTTGGAATCTGTGGTGGAAGGAGAAAATTTGGCTGCATTCACCTGGAATTTAGTTCCCCAGATGGCTGAGGAGCTGAGAACCCATGACTTTGCCTTTTCTGGAAATTTCCATAGTAATTATCATGCTAATTTCAGGGGGCTGGGGGAGGTGAGAGCTGTTGGATAGCTCTTGGATAGTCCTGCCTAGGGTTGGTAGAATGTCTGTTAAGCTTGTCTGACAGCAGAAAAATGTTGGGACATAATTCAAATGCAACAGATTCAATATCTCTCCAGCATATCAGTAAGCTTTCTCTAAGAAACATCCTGTCTTCTGTTACGTCCTGAGGTTAGAATCAAGAGAATTCAGGGCTGCAGTGGGGATGACTATGCAGCAAGTGTGAGTGAAAGGCCAGAGACAGATCGATGGATGCCCCGAGACACCAGTGTGGATGGGTGACCAGTGGTGAGCGAATCATGCCCACCAAGCCTTGGCATTGATTAGGTTCCTATGCAGAAGTCTGAACTAATCTTTCAGGCAGAATAAAGGATCGGAGAAAACAGTGAATTGAAGAAAAAAATAGTGACTTTCTTGTGCCCCTGAAACTGTAGATTATGACTTAGATCAACTGTAAAATGATAGACCTTTCTTTTGATGAGTTTATCTGATGAGAGAAAGAGAGCAAGAGCAAGAGAGAGAGAGAGAAGAAAGAAGGGAGGAAGGCCCCCATAGGCTCATATGTTTGACTATCTGGTCCCCAATAGGAAGAACTGTGTGGGAGGGACAAGGAGGTGTGGCGTTGTAGGAGGAAGTGTATTGCTGGGGGAGGACCTGAAGATTTCAAAAGCCCAAAGCCATTCCCAGACACCTCTCTCTGTTTCCTGCTGGTGAGTTAGGATACAAGGTTTCTCTCTCAGCTACTGCTTCACTCCCATGTCTGCCTACTGCCATCTCGCCAGGATGGTTATAGATTCTAACCTTCTGGAACTATAAGCCCCAAAATAAACGTTTCCTTTTATAAGTTGCCTTGGTTATGGGGTCTTATCACACCATATAAGTAACTAGGGCAGATGGGAAAGAGTTTTCCCTTCTCATGTGAGAGACAGTAGGCTCTGAGAGTTCACAACCAGGATTTGATGTTGCAGTGAGGATGAGGATGCCAGAGGACGGGGATGTTTGAGAGAATGACATTCCCGAGCTTGAGATGTGATCTGCCTTCTGAGAAGTGCTGTAAATCCACATTAGTTTGTTACTAACCTGGTGACTGAAATATCAGTCTTTAATTCTTCGTGTATATATGTGTGTGCGTATATGCGTGTGTTCACGTACATACTATTTTTGTAAAGTAGGAGCAAAGGTCATCAAGCAAGCTGTTATGGTTGATGAAATATTTGAGAACATACTGGAAATTCTAAATGTTTTCTCCTACTCTGCTCATCTTCTCTGGAGCAGGAATGGAGACTATGGCTGACTGGGGCCCTTAGACCAAGGATTAAGATTATTTCAGAAAATGTCCTTCATACATTAAAAAACTAAAAACAAAACAAATAACAAAAACACATATCTTACACAGCTGCCCTCCATCTTAAACATACACTCTCTCTGAAATTTACAATCTCTAGTTCCCATTCCTTTGATAGCTGCCTGCATTGCTTGCTCCCACTGTCTCCCACAAATGAGGGAAGCAGTACAGCACAGTGCTGAGAGGGACTCTTCTGTCAACATTTATCAGCTACAAATCTCCTATTTGGGGCTTGCTGGCTGTGTGACATCGGACAGACAAGTCACACTGAACCTTTGCTCCTCAGATTTCTCACCTGTTGAATCAGGGTCAAGGAAACCAGGGCCCTATCCGCAAGGTTGCTATGACAACTAAGTAGGCCAATTTGCTTAACGGCTGAGTAGTAACTACCTTTGCAAACCAAGTGAGATAAAGTAGGAACAGGTACAGTTTGATGGGTTGTATTATGCCCTTTATACACTGTGTAATCCTTAATGTTTCCCAGTGTTCCATAGCCCCCTTTTCCCTTTCTCCCACTAGGCCACCTAATTTCATGCCGGTGTAAACATGAGGAAGACTAACTTTTAGCTTTACTGGAAGCCATTCTGTCTCAGCTTTTAAATATTTATGGAGGGCAGTCTAGTGGCTGACCTTTATGAATATAGCTTTTGCTTCCGATTTCATCTCTTTTCCTTGGGACTCTTGAGAAAAGGACATGCTTTCCCTTCCCTTCTAACAGGAGTCGGGGTTGTGGGGGTTCTTACAAAGCACAAGGCCGTCCGCAGGCTCTGTGATGTGCACCTGTTGGCGGCTCTAAGAAGACCGCCCTTGGATAAAGTGAAAGTAAAGTGACAGAGGAGTGTGGTCATGGAAGCACAACTTCTCATCCTTGCTTTCCCAGCCAGTCCACAGAGAAGAGAACAAGGGCTACACCGCTAAGCAGATTTCAGGGCAGATCTTACTTCTCCCAAACAAAAGATCAATACGCACACACACACACACACACACACACACACATGCATGCACACACGCACGAGGCACATACCTGCTGTTCACTGACTTAAATAGGCACTTTTTGTTTTCCCTCTTTATTGCCAGCTACAATTCTGAGAACCACTACCAGAAAGGCTTCTAGAATGGCCTCTATCATGACCACTGCTTTCCTAAATTTTCCTTTCCCCGACAAGGTAGCGGGGAATGCCCTTCCTTCCTTAAAACCCCTCAAACCGTCAGCCTGTTGCTCCTGATCTGTTAGGCGTCATCCCCTGTAGTCATCCCCTGTGTTATATCTACTGCTTGATTCCAGTTCTTTGTGGGTGATCCCCCCACTATGTAACAAGCTTGACCCCTTCATCTAATCACATAATCTTTCTACAAGAAAAGAATTCCCGTGCTATAAACTTTATAACGCCAAGACTATTATTTCTCCTCAAATCCCAGAATCTGGCTGCATTAAGCCTGTGACCTTATAATAGTCTTTAGAAAGGAGAGCTTTCCCTCATCGCCCTGTGCTACATTGACTGTAGCAATAACATGCCCAGATAGTTTACACACCTCTGCCAGTGGTGATGCCCAGAGTATAAGAAAAATGGAAACATCTTTTGCACATCAAGACAGGAATCATGCATTTCCATCTTGGATTACAAAATAATGTTTTACACTCACCTGTCACACAGACACTCACATAGACGTGAACCTCTTAAATGCTTTACAGGAAAAATAATGCTGTCTAATTCACAATGAAATCTACACAGTAATGATGTGTTTTCATACTTTTAAAAGTGCTCATTCAGCTAAAGCTACGGAATCCTGGATTAAAGAGAAGCAAAATCCAGGGAGGAAAGAAAACCCAAAGTTACATTCAACATGAGAAATTTCACATATACAAAGCATGAACTGTGCTTCTGAATTATCGTAAAAAAATTGTTTTTTTTTTTTTTGCAAGTTCCCTAAAAATATTTTCATTTTGCTTGAGGTATCTCTTCAGCCTTCTGCCTACGAACTTATATCCCATCTCGTAACCCCACACCAATTATCTTTCTAATGATGAATGTAATATTTTACACAAGCCATACCTAGAAAGCAGCAATCTGTTACTGAAAGTACCCAAACTTCTAAATGGAAAGTATGTCCTCTTACGATTTTCTATGGCTATTCCAGGAATGATAGTTTTCAAATTCCTTTTTGGAATCACATTTGGCAGTTAAAGGCTAAGCAGGAAAGCCGGTACTGTCTGCATGATATGTATGTATAATATATCTCCCTACATCCATATTTAGCATCATTCACCATATTCAAGCAGTTTGATTTCAAAGTACAGTTTAGGCTCTATAAAAAGAAAAAGTTACCCCAACAAAGATTTTTCTAGTATGAAAGTTATTATTATCATTTGTACTGAAAACATTTGGCGTCCATACAAGCTATCAAAACAGGGCCCGGTTTTCCCAAGACTGATAATCTGTGGGATGAAATGAGTTTAGAAGGACTATTGTGGGGTTTTGGGTCTGTTTCGTACAATACTGTGTTTAAAAAAACCACATTATGGTCATTTGCTCTTCGGAGCGCTGAATCACACCTAATGATAAACGACCTTTTCAAAAAACCCTGACGTGGTTTAAAATAGACTCTGAATTTAAAATTTCCCACCAAAAAAATTCCGGGGGTGGGGGGGGATGGCGGTGGTGAAGGGCGCGCACCAATCCCTGTAATGATGCGTCTGCTCTGAGCACCCAAGGCAAGCGGGTCAGACGCACGTGCTCTAGACGTTGACGTTTGCTGAATGCTGGTGAAGTGCAGGGAGCTTCAGCAGATCCGAGGGTCTCGGTTCATCCGAAACAACAGTGTTTGAAGAGATCTGCTAAGTTCGGTTCAATGATTTTTATTTCACAGTGCGGGTCCTGTTATCTGAGCTCTTCGGTGACTGTGAATTTTATTCTCGTTGCTTTTTTTGCGTTTCACGTCCCCTTTGGCACTTTTGAAGGAATGGGGGCGTTCTTTCACATCCCTTATTGTTTGAGAATGAAGCGGTACCCCTCCCACTTCTGTCTTTCTGGTTTCGAACGTTTGGCTTGATGAAATCCACGACTCTCCCTGGATTCCCCGCGTCACCAAACGAGAGGGGTGGAAATTCGCGATTACAAACTGTCCACCCCAACGCTTGTTAGAGGCTGCTGTCCCCAGCTTCAGATTTATGGTGTTTGCCAACTGCCGTAGCCGGCTCTGGTGGTCCCTCTCGGAAGAAAAGCACAACCGGGTTTTTGCGGGCCCACATGACCACTTCCCCTCCTGACCCGCTAGCCGGGTTGGGAGAAGGCATCCCGCCGCAAGCCCCGAGCCTGTTGGCGCAGCCATTTCGAAGGCGATTGCGGCTTCTGGCCTGCAAACCTAGGCCTCGGCTGGGCAAGAGAGCATCCATGCGTCTCGTCCTGTACCCCTCTTCGCGGTTGCGCCCCAGGAGCATGGAAATATTGGGGTTGCGGATGGCATAGATGACGGGGTTGATAGCCCCGTTGGCCCAGGTCAGCCAAACAGCCGCCACGTTGAGCAGCGAGGGGGCCTGCGTGGCCTGACCCTGCCGGGTGGCAGCCAGCAGCACCAGGAAGCAGTAAGGGCCCCAGCAGCCGATGACGAAGACGATCATGATGAGCACGGTGGTGGCCGTGCGCGCCTCGCTGAAGAAGCGCAGCACGCGCGCGTACGTGGTCACCGGCCGCACGCGCACGTCCGACAGGCGCGCGGTCTTGCAGATGTGGTAGCGGCAGAAACACATCAGCAGGAAGGGCAGCAGGTAGCAGGCCACCACCAAGCCCACGCTGTAGGCGGCGCCCAGCTGAGCAGGGTCCGGGGACGTCCGGTAGAGGCAGCGATGGAAGCTCTGTGGAGCCGGCGGCTCCCGGGGCGCCCGGAGCAGCTCCCAGGGCAGGGAGAAGCCGAGCGCCGCCAGCCAGGCGCCGGCCAGCAGCTGCAGGGCGCGCCGCCGGTCCAGCTTGTCCCTCGGCGGCCGCACGATGGCGCAGTAGCGGTCCAGCGAGATGAGCGCCACGCTGAAGGTGGACACGATGCCGAAGCACGAACTGAAGAAGCGGCTGGCGGCGCAGAAGCTGCGCCAGGGCCCCGAGTCGCCGGGTGGGGCGAACAGGTCGAGGAAGGCGGCGGGTAGGCAGAGCAGCGCGGTGAGCAAGTCCGACAGCGACAGGGACAGGATGAAGGCGTTGGTGACCGTGCGCAGCTGCCGGTGCTTCACGATCACCCCCATCACGGCGCAGTTGCCCAGGCTAGACAGCAGGAAGATGAGCAGGAGCACCAGCGCCTGGGCGGCCACCGCCGCCCCTTGCCACAGCACGGGCGCCCGTCCCCGGGGCCCCGCCGCCTCCGGCCGGCCCGGGTCGCTCTGGTTTCCCAGCGCGACGGTGGCTACGGCGCTGAAGGACAGCGCCGCCGCGGTGGCCGCGGAAGCGTCCCCGCCGGGATGCGCGCTGCTCGGCAGGGCTGCGCTCGCGGGCGGGCGGCCCGGGGGCCGCGCCTGCTCCTCCATGGGGTCCCGCGCGGGCCACCGCTCTTGCTCATCCCGCAGCAGGGTGAAAGGATGTGCGGACCCGGAGCGGCCGCCAAGGGGAGTGGGTGGGGCTCGCCCAAAACGGGGCGGTCACCACCCGGGACTGGTGGAACCTTGACGTGGGTTCCAGGCGTTGCCGAGGGAACCGCCTGTTTACGCAGGAACGCGGGGCGGGAAGCTAGCCGGGTACACCAGAAGAGCCGGCCCACATCTTCTCCTTCCCCAGCCCGAGGTGACCGAGCCAGGGGTATGCTGCCGTGGTCCGCCTCAGGCACCCTGGCAGGCCAGAGAAATCCAGAGATTGAGCTAAGGTGCTATTGCTCTTTCCTGTCGGGCACAGATGCCCTAGGGAAGGCCTTTGTAGTGGGAATGCTGCTGTGGGCGTCCCTATATACAGGCAGGGAAGGAAGACAGTTCACATCCCCCGAGAGATCTTGAACTTGGGGCGCGGGAGGCGGGGGGGAGGGTTATTTCCGGTACTTCTGTATTTTGAGCGAGCGGTCAGCAGAATCACCCAGACGGCGGCCATGTTACAAGTGATTTCAGATAATGTAGCTCTGGGATGAAGACCCAGCGATGATGGTCCCAGCGCCACCCTTTGGAAACTACCGTTCTAACGAATTTGTTTCCGTTGACTCCTTGCTGACACCCAGCATTCCTGATGCTGAGCTGCTTCTCTCTCAGATCCGATCCTGAACAGGTGTCCTCAAGGACTGGCCTGTGGATCCTGGAAAGAAGATGGCACCCACCGTTCAAGGGCTTGGACCTCTGCCTGGTCACTGGTTAATGCATGGGGAGAGACAGAGAGGAGCTGCCCCCTATTGCCGGTTGGCCTCTGGAATGTGGCATGTGTGGCATAAAAGGCACAGCCAGTCGCCGGCGCTTTGGCAGATACTGAGCCAGGAGGGATGGGGGGGGGCAACATTGCACCTCCAGATTGCGGCTAAGGCCGTGAGTAGGAAAGGCTTGATTAGACCTTGCGGTTACTGACGGTCTTTACAGCAACTGTTTGCAAAGCGTGGGTCCGGCGCCAGCAACCGCAGCCCTGCCGGAGAGCTTTCGGAGATGCAAAATCTATTGCTCTGATCTGAATCGTGGGAGGGGGTTCAGACTCTTGCGCTTCAGCAAAGTCTCCAGGAGATGGGAATGCACCCACAAGCTCAGGAAACCCTTGAAGAAAGACTAGGACCCTTGCGGTTCTTGGAATCCATTACCAGTGCTAAAGAGTTTACTTCAGTGTATGCTACAGGAGTCGAACTAGAGTGCACTTAGGATTTCTCAGGATCAGCCTTACACAGTCCGCGCCAGATCATTCTTTGCTGGTTGGGACTGGCTGTTCCATGCCTAGTAGGGTTTCTCGAATCTGCCCATTGGATGCCAGCACCTGCAACAACTTATAATGTCTCCAGAAATCGCCACAGCCCCCTTTCAAGGCAAAATCGACCCCAGCCGACAATCATTTCAACACAAAAACATAGTACCTACAGAATATTTAGTAAATGCAACCTTCAACCTAGTTTTAGGGAACAGCAAATAAAGGGCCTTGCCCCCAAAGACTTACAGTTGTAGGCAAACAAATACGTTACAAGGGGATAAGTGTTTTATTTTAATATGAAACTCAATGGAGATCAAGTTTCTAGAGTAGCTGATAAAGATTCCGTATGTCAAACCACATCGTGCAAGTGAGACGGAGAAGTAGAGAAGAGATAGGGTGAATGCAAACATGCCATCAAGAGGTTAATGCTGAAGTTCCCAGGGTCTGAACTCTAGGCTTCGTGTAGGTGGTGGTGAGAGGAACATGAAATGGGTCTGTGTGGGGTTTTCGTGGGACAGGAATTGTGTGCTGTGCTTCGGGGACTGAGTGTCACAGAGGTGTACTCCCACTAGCAGTCCATCCTTACCAAACAGGGGCCAAACTTGGGTATGTGGTCCAAACAAGCAAGAGGGACCTCTCACCCTCCTGGTTCACTTCTTGCCCTGTCTGCACCAGGGGCTTCTACTACACCACTTTATTTCTCCTGTTGGGACCCAGTCCTCTACCCCTCTGAACGGCCTCATTCCCCTCCAGGGACTCTTTATCCCTAATCCCACATCCTCTTTCTGTGGGCATGAGTGGGATGACGTAGGGGCAGGACAGTTGAGTGAAAAAGGAAGGGGTGCTGTACAGAATGCCAGGGTGGTTAAACCAAGAAGCAGTTAAAGGGGGCAAATCAAGGCAGGTGGGTGTTACAGTTAGTAAGGCACGAGAGTAATGTTTCGGGTGCCATCTCAGTTCCATCCTTTCCCTAAAAGACTTTCTGGGTAGTTCGGAGTGGAGAGAAGTGGTCAAAAAGTTTTGCTACCAAAGGGGGTTTCCTTCCAGACACCTGAGAGTGCTAGAGACAGCCCAGCCCAAGTCCAGTCAACTGGAATCTGCATATTTAAGACTTTAGACTTTAGAATAGCTACATAGAAATATGAACATTGCTTTAAGGAGGAATAGCATACAGTGTATGACTCTGAGGGTCGAAGGGTGGCCTATTCTTAAGGGCTCTACAAGACTTGGAACAAGAAGGGGGCGGGGTTATGGACCTCGGCTCACACAACTGCAGCATCACCTGTGGTTGGGGGCTGAGAACCAACCCAATGGTCTAGGGAGCCTCACTGAGACAGTGCATTAGGAAATCCTGCTCTAGCAGGTACCACACTTGACTGCAGGGAGCCAGCAGTGTCCACCCTGGCTGTGATGAACCTTGTGGCGACCCATATAACTGACAGGACAAGCAGTGTCTTCTTGTAGAAAATCTGGTTATTAATATTTACTATAATTATTTATAATTATTATGGTAGTTATTACTTAACCCACTATTATATCAATAAAAGACATAGGCACCTGTTAGATTTTTAATATGCCTTAAACTCTGGGGCTGGGCAGATATAACCCCCTTAAACTACCTTGCCACCTCCCAGCCCCACATCCCACATCAGTTGCGTTTATTCTTCCTACCCGGGCTACTTTCCACCCATAATGTCTATAAATACTTATATATTCTTTCCATCTGGGCTGCTTCTCTTCATCACTGATCCTCAGAGCTATCTCCTCTGGGCCACGTGATTTTTCTTTATGCTAACCATGATTTCTTGTTTATGCTTCCTTCTTCTCCTCTCTTGTCCCTCTCTCTTCTCTTCCCGTGATCCTTCTGTCCTCCAAACCCTCAAACCTTAGCTCTGCCTACCTCACTTCTGCCCTCCCAGGTATTCCCACAACTTTATTTAGCCAAACAGGGATAACTTGGAAGGCAAAGTTCACAAAAATAACTTTGGTATACACTAGGGTTTGCTCCTAGAACAATAAGAATCTTTTTGGTGGGGCAAACAATTAAATACAAAGTACCAGACTGTGTTGCAACAGTTTCTAGAGAGTAATGATGTGGAAACCAGATGGTTGTATACCCTAGGAAAGTTTCTCTAGAAGCTTGACACCTGAGGAAGGAGTTGGGTTAGAAGCTAAAAGAGGGACGGAGGTGCCTGTTTGATCATCTTTACAATGAACAGATTTAAATACTTTGGGGAGGAGAATGCCACCAAGGGGAAGGAGGTTGTGGATGCTCAGCTCTGCTGCTGAAGTAAGCCTTGAGATGAACTGGGTTGCAGGAAGCAGTACCTAGAAGCAGAGTCAACAGTCCTCCTATTTGAATGCCAGTGGGTGGGGAGAGCTTTCTCAGATGTCCCCATCAGAGGACTAAACAAACCTAGTTCTGTGTCCTTGCCCAGGGGCAGACTGGGGCTAGGTTGAAAGTTTTGTTCCTGGAAACTTGGCTTTTCCACTGAAGAGACTAAGGTTATCAGTCCCAAGGACTCTGTGAGCTTGGACTATGATGGCCCTGTGGTGCCCTGTGTTCCCCTTGTGCAGCGCAGCTTGATTGGCTTCCTGCTGACTTGTCCTGTTGTCTGTTAGCTTTCTGCTAGCTCTGTCCTACTTCCCCCCTGCAAATAGTATACAAGATGGTATACTTCTTAAAACTTGCTCGACATAAGACATAGCTTGTGCAAGACCTCCTGAAGCCAACTTTTCTATCTTCTTTATCTCTGATCTCCTGGACTATGGTCCTCACGGTGCTGGCAGTGAAGAACAGTGTTCTTCTCAGGGCCCGCTAATAGAGCATGAGCTTCATTTTATTGCAAAGGTTCATAGCTTAATTTTTACTTCACACCTGTATTTCAGTACTGTAGCATGAATTGTAGAATCAATCATTAGAACCAGTGAATGAACCAAACAAAGGAGAAACAACCAAACAAAATACCACCCCCAAACCAAAAAGTACCACCTAAACAGATGGCAAAAACCTGGTTATCAGTTGGTCTTTGCAGCATCATTCGGTGGTTTTGTGGCCCTTGGGTAGCACTAGGTACAGATGATGGGGCCTCTGCAGCAAAACCAAACCCCAGCAGCATCTATAACAGTGCCTGTCAAAGAAGCTGACTCCTTTTTAGTCTTCCAAGATTATTCACGCCAAGAATTGAGAACCTTGGAATAACCCACCTCCTTAGAATGCTTCTCGTGGAGGACTTTATTTTATTCCAACCGGAACAATTAAAAATAGCAAACTCACAAAATATACTATTGTGTGATCTATAGCTGAAGCTATCATTCAAAGAAACTGGCAAGTATTGTCATTTCCATAGCATAGACTAGGCAGCTATGTTTTACTTTTGCCTTGTACATTAATGACTAAAAGGCTTGTAAATTTCTAGCACTCTGTATGCTCAAGAGGGTTGCAACGAGGAAGTATAACTTTGCCATAGTGTACTATCTTAAAAAGTATAAAAATCAGCCTGTATGTATAAATGGATACTGGTTTTTTACATACAGAAAAGTTCTTTTTTTTATAGAAAAGTTCTTTCAAAGAGAACACCTTAGAACTTGTGGGGAAGATCACTTGAGAAGAAAGCCATCCCTCAGTGGGTCATCCTCTTCCACGGTCAGGCTTGCTGTCCCCGTGTAATGGGCTTGTCCTGCAACTTCCACTATGACGGCTTTGAAGTCCCCACACTTCGCTTCCTGAAAAACGAGGACAAAAGGAGCATACTAAGAAAATCCTGTGGTGGTTTGGTGGCTAAGGCTTGGCTCTTGGGTTTTACACTTGGTGAAATCCACACCTTGACCCCTCGGGCACAGAAAGGTGTCTAAGGGGGTGACAGGGTCAGATGTGCATTTTAGTTAACCTACCTGGAAAGAAGGGGCACA